AAATCTATAAAGTGTGCTGTAAAAATCATGTACTCAATCTTTTGATTACTTGACTTCTATAAATTTTTCGTCCAATTAATCTTGCGACTGTCTTTAACGATGCCTTTAATTTTTTCTCTTTTGCTTCATAAACTTGCATGCAATCCTTCTTAATAATATTGTGTGATATCTTTTTTCATTCAGGCATCCCATGTTTTTGCATCATGTTATAACTTTTCTCTTTTCATAATTGAAAAAAGATACTCATGCATAAGTATCCAATGTGCAGCTGCCTCTTTCATCTTCGTCATATCAAACTTGTCATTTGTGAAAGTAGGTAATATCTGTACATCATCACATGTGTTTATTGACTGAAAGTTGATCATTTGTTGTTGATTCTAAAAAATTATTCGCTTAACACAAGTTATCAAGTGCCTTTTAAATAAATTATACTTTTACTTGCATTTATTACTAGTTTCTTCTTGCATGGACATACTCTCTTTTTTAAAACCATCAGAAAGATTGGTTTCTTTGAACTCCAACCAAACAGCAGATGTTTTTCGCTTCTTTTTCTCATTGCTTTTTTCATACTTTTCAGAGTCAGCATTATCACATTCTCTATCATTGGTATAGGTGACTGATGTTTTATTTGTGTTACCATAAGTGGCATCTAAAGTTTCATTCATTGAATCATTATCATTATCTGACACAATTTGACTAGCAAAAGAATTTGTTGTCGGTTAAAATGGTACAGAAGAGATATTTGATGTGATTAATGACATGTTTAGTCCTCTATAACAAAAAAAAAAAGATAAATCAAAACAATAATTCAATTTTGGGATCAAACAATAATGTCAAACAAGTTGTTAAAAATATGTGCGGTAAATTCTTTTACGAGAAACATGCCAAATAAGTTGGTAGAAATAAGTTATTGAAAGAGTATGAAATTTAGCAGTAAATGATAACCATCTAAGGGAATTACAAACACCATACATAGTCTTTGCCAAATATAACAATTGATCAGAGAGTAAAATGCAGTGGGGTGGCAGTAACTATGTAAATAAATAAAATCTAAATTAATCTTACACATACAATAACTAAAACAATTGATCAAGGTTTGTTTCTTCATATATCTAGAATGCAAAACTATGTAAATAAATAAAATCTAAATTGATCCTACACATGCAGTAACTAAAACTATGATGAATATAGTAAATTAAACTAAGCTAAAGACTTAAAACTAAAAATTTTAAAAAGAAAACAAAACATAGGGAATGCAAAAAATTAATCTTATATTTGAATGAAAAATGGCATATGGAACCTACCTAATTTCTAGCATATTATACTTGAACACTACCAAATGGCATATTATACTTTTCAGGAACCATCTAGTCTAATTCATTTCTTCAAGCAGCCTAGAACACTATTGACCTAATTTTTCCATTATTCAATGCTTTAACACTTTTGACCTCGGTAACAATAGCTTTATAGGTACCTTGCCTTTAACTCTTTATTATTGCAAGTAGAGGTGTAATTGATCGAGTTTGAGCCGATACAATATTAAGCTTAAGCTCGAGCTTAACTCAAAATTGAAATCGAGCTACTCGAGTTTGCTCGATTAAGCTCAATTAATATGTAAAAATAAACTCGATTCTTATATTCAACAAAAGCTCAATTATTTATGCTCAAGCTCAAGTTCTAGTTTAAGATATTTTATTATTAAAATAATAAAAATATATTTAAATATAAAAAGCTCGATTAAGCTCGCGAGCTACTCGAACCAAGTATAAGAATGCTCGAACTCGACTCGATCGATGAGTCGAACTACTTAAACTTGAGCTTGACTTGATAATAATCGAGCCGAATTCGAGTTTTATTTGAATCGAACTCGAATAACTTACGGGTACTAATGTGTCATTTATACCCTTAATTGTAAGTCACTAACTGCAATAAGACTGGCTAATAACCAGCTAAAGGGACAGATATCACTATACATACTTGTACAACGATCTTTATCATCTTTCAATTTCTACTAATAAACTAACCAATTTTAGGCCTATAGTGACCAATAAATATTTTTGGAAACTAAGAAAGAAGTGAACATACACTTATAAAAGTTCAAAGTGGCAGCAAAACTAACTTGTAAACTCTAGAAGGTTTTATAAAAGTTGAAATCAATAGAAATGCCTTAAAAAACATATAAATTAGAATTTATACTAACATTGATATGCAAATAGAGTTAACTAGAATGCACCTTTAACAGATGAATGTACCTTACCTTGTTTGGGCAGAAACTGTGTTTCTTTTTTAAAGTATTCCTCGATCAAAATACAGAGTCTGGGATAATGAAGTCACTAACAAAAGCAATAATTAGAGGAATGGGGGTAGCAGATCTGATCAGTCTCGTGATGAAGAGAAGTCAGTCAACGATCAAGCGGAGATAGATCTCGACTCAAAGAGTTGTTTCTAAATCTTTATAAACATAAACACAGCCCCTTGAGACAGAGAAAATCTTCACAGATTGACTTTACAGTTTATACAATAGGCGGGCAAGGAAGAGGCAGGTCGCCTATCAACAACAATAATAGAAGAAATAGAGAATTTTCTCATTCAAAAAATGCCCTCTTACGCATTATCCAATCTCAATGAAAAGCCTATAAGAAAGGGGTAGCAATGATCTTATCAGTTGACTAGTTCAGTTTCGAAACTTCTCCTGAAGTGAAGCTGGAAAGACTAGAAGAAAAAAAAAGGATAGATTTTCGTTTTCGGGCCGGGAGGGAGGTGACGAAGACAGGGAATAGTAGTTGACAGGTGAATGCCAGCGATGAATGACGCTTTCCTCTTGGTTGGGCTTTGATGAATAATCAGGATAGTTTATAGGCTTCGGTGCTACGAATCATATATGGTCGAATTTTTTTCATTCTTGAAGGGCTAAATTATAGGTGGTTAAGGTGGGTTTAGAGTTGGCTAGGATTAAGGGAAATGATTGAAAGAGAGTGAAAGAAAAAGGCATCGCAAATGGGTTTTTTAGAGAGATGAGAGAGACGGGGAAAAAAAGGGAAAGAAGACAATAAAATTTAGGGTTTTTTAGGTTAAGGGTAAGATAGTAATTGTATAAATAAAATAATAAATATATATAATAAAAAAGTTCAATTAGGCTCGTGAGCTATTTGAACTGGATACTAATATGCTCGAATTCGGCTTGTTCGATAAGTCGAGCTACTCGAGCTCTAGTTCAGCTCGACAATTATTGAATCAAATTCAAGTTTTAATCGAATCGAATCCAAATAGCTTGCGAGTACTAATGTATCATTTACACCCTTAGTGTATGATACAACAGTTGTATGAGCTAGCCATGGAGATTTAGTGCCCATTTGGATTTTACCACATCTTTAGTATGTATGATTAAACTCACCACACCATTTGTTGAATTCAAATGTTAACTCCAGTAAGATCCATTCAATATAAATTTTTCATTGAAAATTTTTTTTTCAATCGCAGTTATAATAATTTTTTTTTCAATTGTAGTTACAATAATTTTTATTACTGTTTTCAATCTCACTGTAGTTAATCTCACCGCTCATCCAAATGAAGCCTAATCAATTAGAAACCATTCTTTTTATATCAGGGAAGATTAAGGAAGAGCACTTACCATCTCAAAAATTTTCAAGCTAAACATTAAAATTGAAGATTCAAAAAGTAAATATAACCATTCTTGTTTTTGTTTTATATAAAATATTAGTAATTTAAGTATTTATATTATGTTTTACATGTTATAATTCATATTGATATAAAAAATACGAAATATATTTTTTGTTTTTATTAAACTTATATATAATTTTATCTAAAATTTTAAATTGTTTCATTTTCTTTTTTTTTTCGCATTTTTTTGTATTGTATCACTATATTGTGTTTTAAAATCTAAATCCACTAAAAATTAAAACGTATGATATATTAATATTATAAAAAAAGAATTTATAATATTAAATATACAAAAAATAAAGTTTTTTAATATATATGAAAATCAAAAAGACAAAAAATAAAGTGGGAAGACATAAAAATGTTATTGCAAATTTCATCAACATCTTAAAAATATTTCTTTTAATATTTTATTATGGTTTGATGTCAAAAATGATATCTAAATTTTATAGATCTCTAATATAATATTTAAACTATAAATCTATTAATTGATGTAATACTTAAAAAATTATTTGTCAATTATGTGTTATTATTTAAAATTAATCTCTTTAAAATGCATATCATGTTAATTAATATATTTATAATTCAAATATCATATTTAAAATTTTAAAATTCAAATATTATTAATGAAATTTTTTCTCATGTTTTCACACTTTTATGATTGAAAAAAATTAAGATAAAATTTTTTAGATGAAGTTTGTAAAATTTTTTATTAAAAATATTAAATAAAATTAAAATAAATAGATTAAAAAATCTTATTATATAAATCAAGTATACAAAATTTTAAAAAATTTCAATAAATTTTGATATACTTTTTAAATATACTTTTTGTAAAAATTTTAACTAAATTTTTATTGTTAAATAAGTTCAAATGAAATTTGAATTGTTAACAATATTTTTAATAATTTTTTATATATTATTAATTTTAACATTAAACTCTATTAATTTACCTATTTAAAATTTATATTTGAATAGTTACTAAAACCATTTTTAAAAAAATTCACAAACTTCGCAAGAAAACTTAATCTAAGTTTTGTCCCTCGTGACACGCTTTAAAACTGGGTGTGGCCATATCATACAGGACACGCGCGGTGAGTCGTTCGCCTGAGGCAGCGCTCGAAACTGAAAACACACATCATAAAAGGGCCAAGATCCAAAGACACAACAACTCAAATGTAATCATGTGACTAAACTAGGTGTTGTTGTCTTCAACTATTAACTCCAAATCTTAACTTCTAAAACCGTGTTTGCGGAAGATATCACTACAACAGAATCATCAAACAAAACAGATATTAGTTATTTTTATTATAACAACAAAAAATGTATTAATGATTTGATAAAGCAACCAAAAATAGCATAATCATGGAAAACTTGAAAAGTGATGATTCTGAATTACGTGAACAGGATGCATTCAGGCAAAACACAAGAAAGGGGGAATTGAAGCGCAGATTGCAGGAAAGAGAGAGTAACCAAGATGGAGTAAAGCACGAAGATGAAAAGATTAAAGCCCTTCGGCCTTTTTGCAGACGGGTAGCAATGGCATCATTTTTTATTTTTTTTTTTATCTTTAGGGTTGAAAAACCATAGAAAAAAAAAAGTTCGAAAATGACCCCAGGCCATTCAAATTGAAAAGCTAGGTACAATTTGCTTGCAAAGTAGGAAGCAGCCTGGCGTTGGTTTCCCAGGAACTGGCCCTACTCCCATAAAAATCCAAGTGGGCCATCTGGCCATGGCTACTGTTTCACCTTAGCATAATAAGAGGAAAATATTTCATGAAGATCTCACCCAATCTTTCTGTTCCAGAGTTAAAATGACAAATAGTAGCATTTAGATCAGATTATGAACTCTCCTGTGATTGATATTATCAGCAGAGTACACTATACAAAGGCATTCATTCTTTAGATTATCAGGAAAACAAAGGATACAAACCACAAACTTCTAAGTTCACATTGAAACATAAGATGTATTTTAATAGAAACACATGGTTTCATATTTAGAAGCTGATAGATATAGACTAGAAAAAAAAGGCAGCATGGAAGCAAAAGAACAAACCTAAGGAGATGGAGGCCAACCGAATATTCCAGCATCCTCACCGATTCCTTCATAGAACCTCAGCTCAAGTCCCTCCAGTCTCCCCTCCTCGTGCCACATTTCATCGTAGAGGTCATAATCATCATAGTCATCCATTTCAAACTCCCAGGCCAAATACCCAGAACTATAAGAATAGTCCGAGCAATAATCCCATTCATCCGTTTCATAGTAATCCATGAAAAGGGGCCCCAAAACCTTCAATTTTGGGAATTTTTCCTTCAGGAGCTGATTATCAAGTTCCACATCCCAACAACCTCTTAAATCCAAAAATTCAAGCAGAGGACAGCTGGAAAGGATGTTCAGAACACTTCCTGTGTTGATAAGATGATAAGCCATCTCAAGACGCTTGAGCCTAGGCATTGTAGCAGCTATGGCATTTGCCTCGTCATCCTGCGAGTGCTTGCCTGCTGTATCCAGCGGATGCATGTTGCGACAGAGACTAACAAGCAGTTTACAGTGCTTTCCAATGGCCTCTAAAGCACGGGCACCAATTTTGCCACAGTAACTCAAATCCAAAAAAGTGATTATGCAAAGCCTTCCAGCAGTTTTTTCAACTATTGAATCACTCATTTCACTTCTCGGCAGTCGTAACGCCTTAAGGGAACCAGCACTTGCAAAAGCACGGAAACAAAATATATAGTATCACTTAAAAGCGTCCACTGAACAATGATCACCTAAAGGAAGGGAAAGTGTGATCCTGTGTTTCTCAAAGATATTACAATTATCTCATTGGAAATCTAATCATGAATACTGAAATTGCTGCTCAAACTAGAATAAATCATGAAAGCAAACCACGTGTTGAAAAAATTAATGATAGAAATTCTCATAAATTATCCGAGACTCAATACATTACTGACAAAGGCAATTACAAAAATGGTAAGACAACGTGAAACTTACTGCTCTGTGATGAACGAGAAAATGTTATCATTCTGAAGGCCCTGAAACACATAACTTGCGGAGAGATCCACTGCTTCTGGTGATCAGCATACGAAGCATCCGATCAACTTGGTCTGGCTGGCATCTTTTGCTCCATTCTTCGATGTCTATCTCTTGCCAACAATAGGGACCTGTCACAGCCTTTCTCCAGGATTTGCAGACACTGGGAACGACTGTTAATACCTCTTGTAGGGACAGGTTACTGAAGATTAGCCCCAGTGCATCAGGAATTAGTTCATCCCAGTGTCGAAAGTCGCTTTGCTCTTCCATCTGATCTTCATTCAGGTAGTGATGGGCAAAAGCGAAACACAATAAGCAACATCAATAATTACAAAAAAAATACAATTTCATTGTTATATAGCTACTATTACTGTATAATAGTAGTAAAAAATGAAACATTTTAGAGATCCAAAATGTCCAGAAAAAATAAAACTTCCTGCAAAAATTTCAAAGCCATGACAAGCATGGTCACAACTCAACGAAAGGAACAAACCACAAAGTACAATAACAACTTGTCTGTCTGTATGAGTTAAAACTAATAGGCTTCGTTGGTTGGTTAAAAAGATTGAGTAAAAGATACTAAAAATTTACTCTTTGGATTTAGGATCTAAGAAACAGCTCAAAAATGGTGTACTTCATACTAAAACTCCCAAGTATCAAATTTCTGTCCTTTTGTTCGAGTTTTTAAAGAAAAAAAAAAAAGAAAATTAAAGATGGTTAGTGGTTGCCTTACTTCACCCTTTCTTTGCAAATTCCACCTTTTGCCTTGGCTTGCAATTTGGATTGTGCAAAAGAGTCCCAGTTTATCCGCCTCAAACGCAGGGTGAAAAGAAAAGAAAGAGAGGAAAGAAAAAAAAAAGCAACACAAAAAGTCCTATCTACCCACCTAACAACGGCACCAAAGGCAACTCAACAAAAAGAAGAAGAAAACCAAGAGTAAAAACAAAGAGTTTAAAAGGAAAAGGAAGTACAATATGTGGTTAAAACTCAGGAAGGCTGGGATACATATAAATAAATACATATACACGCTTTATTGGTTACAGAAGAAGAAGATGAAGAGAAGGAATGGAGGTCAGGAGTAGCTTTTACTGAGAAAATTGGGTTGTGAATGACGGATTTTGAATAGCAAAGGCATTGGTTTCACGCCATACATTTATGTCTTTTTAAACTGAAAGTGAAAGGTGAGTGTGAACATGACAGAAGCATTAGATATTTTATGTACCTTTTAAGAAAGAGAGTAATTGGGGAGGTGAAAAAAGGGCAAGGGTGGAACCGACACGAGTGGATTGATTACTAGGTTTAAGAGGGAAAGGTCGCTGATGGGTTGGCTGGCCTATGCTTGGGCTCTGTCAATCTTATCAGCCTACAAATTACAATTAATGGCTCTGGACGTTCAATGCTTCTTGTTCCAACGCTATCTGCATCGGAAATCTGTCTTTACTTTTTTGACAAATCTTTGAAGCTCATCATTTTTTTTGCTTTTTCTACGGAAACTATTTTGAAAATTTGCAGATGAATTGTGAAGTTTGAGGGGAAGAGAGTTGAATTTAATTGGTTGTTCACATTCAGGTTGTGAGTCTCGATCTAAAATCTGATGTTGTATGTAAAATCACATTCATATAGGTGTTAGTTGGAATGGCCACAACTAAGTAAAAGGCTATTTATGTCAAGTTTCGATCTAAAATCTGTGTTTATATGAACAGTAAGCTCTTCATTTATTTTAACATGTTCATGTTCTGACATTTATCAGACACTGAATATAACACTTGAATCTAAAATCTATTTTAGCATGTTCAAGATCTGACATTTATCAGAGACATGCATGTCCGACATATGATTCCTGATCCATGTAACATAGCTTAAAACCAGCCTACTTTTTACAATTTTTTTTCTTAATTGAAGGGTACAGAAGTTCAAGAAATAAAAAGGAAGTGACATGAAAACGATGTAATAAAGAGAATATGATGGTTGAGACGTACCAGCTGGTAATTTGTTGCTTGTCTTTATACAGAACTTTCAATCTGATGAGTCCACGTCCTGGCAGTTTTACACATGCAGAATTTAGTCTCATCTTGTAAGCTGACAGACTGACAGAGATCGAATTGGAATATTGGATTATTCACAGTTAAACCTCTTGTGCTATGGCCATTGGAAAGATCGGAAAATGGACCAGATGCCTTATCAGAGGCAATTTAGAACCCCCAACTTCTACCACGCTAGCTGAATCCCAGCTAGGATTCAATTTTAGAGACATCGAGGGGAATGTGGAAAACATTAATATGGACGGAAAATTGTTAATGACAGATACATGTTAATCACAAAATTTTGACAAATATTACCAGGAATATTTTTACAGACTGTATACAAAATAACAAAAAAATATTATCATAAATCAATTTTTTGTGATTACAAAAAAAATAATGTATTCATTTCTAAGATATGATATCTATCATATTTCGATTTTTAATTCTAACACTCGTGATATAACAACAACTATTCTCGAGTTACAAACTCTTTTCTACTAAAAAAATATGTTATCAGAAAATTGTTTACACGAACGGGGTTTCATTATTATAGCCCTATTATAAGATATTAATATTAATTACTAATTAATATCATACTAATCACAAATAAATGACGAAGGATTGAAGGTAAGAGAAGGCAGTACCAAAAGAAAAATAAACGTACTCCCAATTTTGGATATGACGGAAGCTCGAGTTTAGCGAAAACGTCATCTAGAATCTTCTCACTTGTTAAATACATGAAACGAGGTGATAATAAAATAGAGATGGTTTGCTTGTTGCGGGGGATCTCACTATAATTCTCTGAGAAGACAACTTAAAATTTCCATTTTCTGTTCTGGACCTGGTTTAATGTTTATTTGTCTGAGTTTGTATGAGGAATTTTTGATATCTTGGGTGTGGACTTTCTTATTTTGGCAAGCATGAGTCTGTACCATCTTTGCCTAAAATGTACTTTTTTTTTTTTCCATTTCTCATCTCAGTCTAAGGAACTTTCTGTGAAGACAAACTTGGACGGATGAAATGGAAGACATCTAAAGGTTAAATCAACAAGATTTGTGATGAGAGCTGTCGAAAGTTTGGGCACATATTATATCAAGGAATAGATGTTTATCTTAAAATGAATTTGCTTTTGCCTTTTTTTTCCCCTCTAAATAAAACATTCGTGCAACCAAAAGAAGAGGTTAAGTTCTTCTTTTAAAACTATGCATGGTTACAAGTAGGACTCTGACTTCTTAAATCAGAGTGTCCATTAAGATATCAAAAATTCAAAATCCCTTCGACTTTCCACATAAACTTGGGCGCTAATTGTTGTACATAAATATTGCAAAAAATAAGTTGAATGCATTTAGCGTTTTAACAAAACCTGTGGCCTTTCATCATAAGAAAAATATCATAAACAAAAAAAAAAAAAAGGGCGCGGGTAAGTGGCACAACACTACCTGTATAGCTAATTAGAATGGGCTAATGGGCCAAAAGGGAAAAGAGAAACAACTGGATGAATTCAGGGCACAATATATATTATATTCCGATTGGATAATTTATAATGCTATAACTGTCCATGAAATCTGCAGGAAACAGAATTTTCTTGGTTCCATACCAAGATTATTCCCTGGGAAAAAGGAAAGAATTAGTTTAAAATTTTTAAGAAATCTTAATGAAACATAGGCATCTTGCAAATTCCAACCATATCGGAGTAGCAACATAATGACATGACATACAGCACTTCTGATAGCACACAACTTAAAGACAAGAAAGATTTTGTAATTTCTGAATCATAACCTACATGTCAGAATTAGTCATAGAACTGGTAAACAAGAATTTTATAGAAGGTTCGATGAAAAGAGGTACAAAGTGCAAACACCACAACCACACATTAAGGCAGCCCAAAGCTTTGATAAATCAATCTAAAGAGTCATTAGTTAAAGCCTTATCGTGACTCATAAGTACAAGTCATTTAGTTGCACGTCTGCTTCAGTGTAATGTGGACAGCATCCAAAAGGCGTCCATGAAAGATGAGTTCTCTACCTTGAATGGCATTAAAGACAGCATCACAATTGAACAAAAGATTGGCCTGAACCAAATCTTCATCATCTATCTCATTCGACTAAAAAGGTTGTTTCATATGACTTCGAGGAAATTTTAAGATGAGCTCTTTACCTTGAATGGCGTTAAAAGAAGGTATCTCAATTAAACAAAAAGATCAGCCAGAACCAAATCTTCGTCACCCATCTCATATGGCTCAAAAGTTGTTTACCATATTATACTGAGGAAATTTTAAGCAGCAAAATTCTATAGAAGTGAAAGTGCGGATTGGTTGTATCATGATCCCAGTAAATGGAACATTCCTTTCTTGCCTCTCAAAAAGGTTCTACTAGGCATGTTAGATCACTAACACAGAGATTCTCACTAGAGTAACTGATGATTGCATTCCTGAATACAGGAAAATTACTGGCTTTCAAGACACATGAATAGATAATTTCTACTCAGCATAACAACATCAGGATATTACCAAATTCAATCATATGGCCCAATATGTGCTTTATATATAGAAACAAAGGGTAAGGATGGATAAATAAATGCACATTCCTAGATAAGGATAGCAAGAAATGTCTACTAAAAGGGTAAAACATACAGTAAAAGACAATTACTCACAATAAGAAAAAGATAGGGAAATAATTCAAGTAATTAGTAATCAGTTATCCAATTTAATCATGTCAATTTCTCAATTTGATCCACCATCTTACCATAAGGACAGCTAAAGAGAAAAGCTCAATTCTTTAGGCAAATAGTTTGACACAAGTTAGTAATGGTATTAACTTGTGGAGAATTCTGTGATGCCCTTTAGGACAGCTTGGCCATGTGGTGGAAATATTCAACATAGCACAGATCTATTGCAAGGCATGAAGTCGGTAACCATGCACTGAGCAATATTACCATCTTTTAAAGTCACCAAAGTCTGCTTCTAAGGAGGCCAAACAATCATCTACATAACGGATAGAGAAACAAATCTCTATGCTATACCGATGCTCGCTACTAGTCTTGCATAGACCACTTTCTAGTAACTTAGGTATTAATAAAGTATATCAGACAAAGGGCGGGGCTTGTATCATGGTTCTGAGGTGCCATTTCCGAGTAATGGCACCATTCTCAGGATCAAATGGCAGTAATCTATCAACTACATAGCATTTGCAAATAAAGGGGCACTCTTTCTCTATAGATGCATGCAAAGTAGCTGAATTTAACATCAGACAATGCTCAAAAACTGAAAATGTTAACCCTGATTCTGTAAGCATTGTCGAGGCTGGTGCTAGTACATATTTTGTACCCATGAAAATATACATAAAAATACTACTAGAGAAAAGTAAGTAGGCTGTAAGTGAGCCGAACAGAAACGACACAACCGAAAAAATTGCTTGGTTCTTTATAATTAGTTTCATTCAAAAGGTTTGTTCGCAGCAATTAGATAGGACCATTGCCAGTGAGGTGCAACAAACTATGGTTTTTGATTAAAATGAACTCAAATCGAAGTAAACAAAATGAACACTGCATAAAATGTTCAACTCAAAATTCTATTTAATAAATAAACAATTAAACCAAAAAAAAAACTCTTACCACTTGATGAGTCCTCCAAAGAGGAAATGCTGCATAATAGGAACCTTTTCGAGCACCTCAGCTTTATACATCTTAAGCATTCCACTATTCACCTTGTTCCAATTAGGTACTCCACTTATATCATCCAACAGCGGCGAATGCTCGGCAAACGGACCCTTTTTAACCTTCTTTATAAACCCAATACACGAAAGATACATATACTCACTCGAAAAGTTCTCCAAAATATCATCATTATGAATCGATTTCGGCTTCATATACTTATGATCAATCAACTGTGAACTCCCAAATATAAACGGCAAGAAATGGTAATCATCTAAACCCCAAACCCCGTGCGAACCCGCGGGTTCCAAGCAATAAACAAGCTGAAGCTTCCTCATTAAGTCTAAATATTTCACAAAAACCCTAGCCACCACAGCTTGGTAATCTTCTTCCTTAACGATTCCCATTCTGGCTAAGCAGTATAACCAGGCCGCGAAATTGGTTTCGTGACCCGTTCCATAATCGATTCGTCTTGGGTTTCCGAAGCTGTCAGTGAAATAAGGGATGATTTCGACGGTCGAGGGTTTCAGATCGTCGGGGACGAACTGGAGCATGAGGGATTCGGCGTTTTCGGTTAAGCGTTCGTGCCAGGTTCGATAAGAGATGTTTCCGTAACGAGAGGATTGTTGAACGGGGGGGATTTGGTCGATCCAGAGAGACAGGGTTTCAATGATGGAGACAATTACGGAGATAGTGGGGGATTCATGGGATGGATCGGATATTTTATGAGCACGGATGGATTCGGACAAGGCAACGATGAAGCCAAGGAAGTTTTTGGAAGTGAGAGAGTCGTGGAATTTGCGGATGTCGTCGTGGGAAGTAATTTTTTTGATTGGGGTTTGGAAGTCGAAAGGAGGAGTGATGGTGGGGACTTTTTGGTATCGAGGGACGGGAGAGAGGATTATGGCTTGGGTATTGTTGTTTAGAGGGAGGTTTATGGCGGGGGCTCGACTGGGTCGATATGTAGGGGGAGAGGAAAGGTCCGGCCAAGAAGTTAGAGAATGGGGTGGTGGCGCGAAGGTTGTCTCGCCGCCGCATTTACAACAAGTTCCTGTGGTGGAGGGTTGAGGGTGAGTCTGGGGGGCTTCTTCTAGTGGGGGTCGCGGTGGTGGTGATTCCATTTTTGTGGAGGAAAGCGTAGAGCATGGAGGGATGCGACAATTCTTAGTAGCTGCTGTGCTCTCTAAGGGGCAGGGAGATCAAATCGAATTAAACCTGACAATTTAAAGGATTACAGGACATAAATATATATTAATAAAAAATAAGAAAATACTATAATTTAAAATTTTAATAAAATAATAAAAAATATTATATATATTTAACTGCAAATTTGGTCAAAATCTCGTGCCCTCGGTTGGAGGGCATCAATGTTAAAAATTTGTTACCTCGGTTGGTACATGTTATAGATTCCAATGTCTCATGTTAATTACTTTGTCATGATTTAGTTATGCGTTGGACCGTGCACGTTGCTACCTAAAATTTGGTCCTATCTTATATAACCATTATAAAATCCCTACACAGCCTTAAAAAAAAAAAAAAACAAAATTAATAATAAACAACATTAGCCATCAATAACGTGATTGTTAGTAAAATATTTATAATTTTAATTTTAAATATAAAATAATATTAATTAATTTTTTCATTAATAAAATATAAACAAAAAAATTAATACAAAAAGACTCAAGTAAATGAGGAAATATTGTTAGGAAATAGGGTTGTCTCATCTCCATTAATTAGTATTTTCTAAACCAAAATATTTATTACCAAAGGAATAAAATATTGTTATTAAATGTTAAATAACCAAGTCAATAATCGTCATGTTTGAAAAGGATTTGCTAGTAAAATAATGGAGATAATCTTAATTTTGTCAATTTTGTTGAATAAATTGGTGCTGCATGTCCAAGAAAATCGGTTATACATTGAATCTAAAATTTTCAATTTTTTTTAAATCATAATTCTCATTAAAATAAATTATAAATTCAAATCATATACTTTTCAATTCATAATATATATATAATTACGTTTTATGATTAAATTTTATAAATTTTCATAAACAATATCATAACACAGAAGGAGTCTCACCCACCGTGCTATCATGTGAACCAATAGTCTTCTAATATTGTAATTGCACCATTAAATTATTCAATCTATGTAATAAGGAATAAAACCTCGCATATTTTTTCAAATGTCTCATTAATGAATTATTATATATTAATTAGAATTTAGAAATACTAATATAAGGGATTGGATATTGGACCCTCTTGCGGCGGAGAATTGCCCGTGAAATTGGCTATTGAATGTGGACAGCACTATTTATGGGTCTTTCTAAGCCCAAATATCAGATGTCTATTTGGGCTTTGTTCTTAACTACTACGGCCCATGAGAGGCACGCAATTACCAAAAAAAGATTATAATTGCAATTAAATATTATATAAATTAATAAAAAATTATAATATAATTAGAACCAAACTCAGATTTTGAATCTAAAATTTAAAGGTTTTAGAACCTTTTCCTTATCACATAATTGTTCTTTTTTTTTTTTTTTTTTCTGGACCTTTAAAACTAGGAAGAAAAGAAAGTGTAATTTTTGACAGGTTTAGCTAGATAATCAAATTTTGTTGCCTTTTGTGTGTTCATTTCCAATGAATAAATCCCCTTAAATTTTTATTACAGCTCAAAATTAAACTCCTAGAACAAATACCACATAGATATATATTTTGGGCAATACTCAAAATATTTACTGAAATTCAACATAAATCTAAACAAATAAAACATTTTATTTGACTTTGTTGAAGAATGAATCAAACAGAAAGAGTGTCAATGATTTTTTTTTTTGCCATTAAAGGATGTTAACGATTAATGGAGACTATTCAGAATGGTTCAATTGTCAATTTTCCCTAACAAAACCCATCTCCGTACCACTACTTAAAAGTCAATAAAATTCCCTAAATTTCCTGACTTCTTTTCCCTTCAGTTTACGAGTCAACTCATTTATTAGACCTGGTACCCATATAATTCTTGAAACACAACATTATTTCCTCAACATTCCTCTGTACAAGTTTTCATGTCCTACTGATTTACTAAATGCTCAAGTTCCTATATTGGGAACACGTCTTTCCTCTTATCAGCCCAATCTTTCCTCGGTTCCTCCATCATTGCAGTCAAATTTGATTTAAGTGTGAATCTCTTATTCAATCATGATAGAAAAAGAATAATTCAATAATATACAATGAAAGAATCTCTCACAAATTATCTGCCTAACATATATTTTATACACTGACATGTTCGCGTGTCTTATAAATCTTTGTTTTAAGCCAGAGCAGAACAAGTTGAGGTTGCAGGGTCAAACAAAGCAGGAAGAAGGAACTTCCTCCCATTGACACCATGTGCATTGTAGCTAGCTCCTGTTGTAGCGTCCAACGGAAGGTCCCCAGCATAGCCTGGATAAGCCCCTTTACCATAAATCCCTGGGCAAGCAGATGCAGCCTCAAGTGGTGCCTCTTTTGGACCCTGATAGTAGCCATTTCCAAATGGGTTCGTGACGGTCCCAGCCAAGAGGCTAGCTAGATTGATCACCATTCCATCAAGACCAACATCATTGTTTGGTGCAACCAAAGGTGGGTTCTGTGGTCCGTAGATGGGCTGGTGGAATGGCCAAGCGCATTGACCTGGGCACTGTGTCTCTGAGTTACCAACCCAAATGTAAGCAAATTTGGAGTTCTTGCCCTTAAGGTGATCATTGCTTGAGCCCGAAGCTGAACCATGGGTTCCACACCTGCTTGAGCAGAACCCTTCAACGGCCACATCAGCTGATGTCAAGACAACATTAATGGCATTCTTCTGAGAACCCGTTGATGCTAATTGTACGATTTGTTGATTTGTTAGTGACTTTCCCAACGAGTAGTTCTCATCAAGGATTTGTGTACCCAATGAGAGGACAAGAGAAGAAGGTTTCTTGCTGAGCTGATAGTATTTTTCTGTGGCTTTCCACCATGTAGCAACGGAGGGTTGAGCCACCGTAGGCTTGGAAGATGTAACGGAAGTGATGAAATCGGAGACAATAGCACGTTGAGAAGGCATGAACTTGCCATACCAAATGAGATCGACAGAGATTTTCCCAGTTAGAAGAGGGCCATTGTGATATTGGAACAGCAAAGGCTGCTCGGTTTGATCTGACTCAGCAAGCCTCCTTGCTTCTGCATTGAACTGCAGCAAAGAGAGCAAGAAAACAAGAACAAGAACAACATTGTAAGTAGCAAAAGAAGCCATGATGAACTGATTGTAAAAGAGAAGCACAGATGAATGTTTTGTGAGGTTTGGGATGAAGAAAACTGAAATGAGAGAATTGTATTTATAATGCTTGATTTTTTGAGGGTTGAAAGTGCTAGGAAAGAGCCGAAAATTAAAAGGTAAACGAGTGGAGGTGTGAGGTGCCATGCCAGCCAAATGACGCGTTGTATTTTAATGAAAAGGCTCGCTCTCAACCGAATCAATGTGTTAAGAATACAGTTCCGAGCCAGCTAAGGGGGGTTAAGACAAGTATACGTGCCTTGGGGGAAAAGAAAAGGACAAAATTGAGTGCTATTGAGACAGGTGAAGGCACATTTGGGGCAGGGTGAAAACACGTCATAGTCTCTTAAAGAACGTTTAAATTTTAATGGTTATCGAGATATGTCGTTCTGACTTTTTTTTTTTACGTTTTTTTTGGGTAAAAGTGAAAAAAATCGATTTAAAATTATAATATTTATTTCAATTTAATTAATTTTTTTATTTAATTTGATTTAATTTAGATATTAAATATATATATTATATTTAAATCAAATTTTGAATGAAAAAAATAAATAAATAAAATAAAATAATATTTGTTTTAGTGTTTATATATTTTTTAAATTTTGATAAAATAAAAATAACAATTTTATATTAAAATTTATTTAAATATATTAAAATTTTATATTAAAATAATATATAAAAATTCAAAATTTATAAATTGAATCAAACCAATTAAATTTAATTCAATTTGATTCAATTTGATTTAAATCAAATAAAAATTCGATTCAAATTTATATTAAATTTTAAATTTTATAATATTATATAATATAAAAAAAAATCAAAATGAATTTAATCTAAATCAAATTATCATTACCCTTAGCTCTGGGATTGTGCGCCCAAAAGGGATGGCTTTAGTTTAGATATACTCTAGTTTTCATAATTGCGATTCATTGAAGATTAAAAATAATAATAATAATAATAACGAAAACAAAAACGAAAATAATGTAAGTAGAGAAACATGTCATGTTTATGTGGTGCATAATATTATGACTTGCGATGTTGAATGTTCTGTTGTTCTGTTTCTACTATTCTTTTTTTTTTTTTTCTATATGTAAGATAGTGGCTATTGCATTTGTTTGATTTCCATAAAAATATCAATGATATTAATGGTTTATATGTGTTTTATAAAATGCATCAAGTCAAATCCAACAAATTGTTTTCTTTTTTTTTTACATTTTCTTAATAAAAACAAATAAAGCTTACTAATTTATTCATAATGGAAGTAAATTTGTTATGTTAATTTATTTACCACGTCTCAAACCAATATTAGGATTTTTGGAATTTTTAAAATTTAGTTTTGGAAAAAAAAATTTATTATATAAGTTTACTAAATTATAATAAAAAGTCATGTGATCTATGGATTGAATATTCAATATTTAATTTTGGTAATAACCGAACATACTAAATTATGCACGTTATTCATGGTAAAGACATGCACATAATCTAAATTGTTAAGGTTAACTATTTTTAGTGGAGTGGTAACAATTCATTCCAAAATATTGATGGTAGGCTTAGATATATACCATTTGGTTTCTTCTACTTTCTGGCTAGACTTCACGAAATTGCTCGCTTGGATGCTAGAAATTTACCAGTCTTCTATCATGCATGCTCTGGGTAGAAAATTTCCACTCATTGCAGCTAAAGCACAAGGTAAGCTTTATCTCTTTTATTCATCTGCAGTTCTGAACAACTGCAGACAGACTTCTCCCAATCGAAGAGGTGATTCTATCTGGTACAACAAAATGCATGCATTTTTTGGGTATGATAAAATTCAGTTGAACTACTTCAAACATGGTTCTAGGCAAAGATATTATTAATCCTTTCTGCTTCGAATTTCATCATTCCCAGATCAAAGTGCAGTTTTCCTTGAAATTTTCCCTTCATATTGAG